CCCCGCCCCCGGACCGTGTAGACCCAGGAGGAACAAGCAAGGGTGTACGTGGCTCCAGTCAGGACCAAGGAAGCCCAGCACCTTGTCTCAAAGGGTAGGGCTGGCCGAGTTTTGTCTTCTTACGTTTCTGCTCTCTCTGCTCTCAAGAGGGCATCGGAGGTAGCTGACGACACAAACTCGGTTGAATATGACCATCAAATGAGTCGTCTGAGGCTCTGAGCCCTTAGTCCTACACAGCCGTGACTGCAGAGGTGCAGTCCGACCCAAGGGGATGTGGGGTAACATCCTATTAACAGACTTGTTAGTGGTTTAGGCCAGTGGGAGTAGCAGCGGGGGCCAGAGGTTCCTCTTCTGGCCTTCCAGGTCAGCCCCGCCCAGAAGCGATTCCAGGTCAGGGCAGAGCAAGAACCAGCAGGGGTTCTGCCATCTGTGACCCGCCCGACGTCACGGGAGGCAGTTTGACCTTGTGAGCCCTGGAGGTGAGTGCTGAGTTTTTCAAGTAGCCCCGGTTCTCACTAGGTGACCTTGAACAACTTATTTTGTGGACCTCAGTTACCTGGTCTGCAGAACGGGATTCATGACAGCTAACTACCTCCTAAGTATTCTGTGAAGATCACATGAGGGAATTAGACCGCATGGCAGAATTCACGTAAAGCATTTAGAACAGAGCACGGTACATACTAATTCCAGATGCAATTAGTAGGATTAAAGTCATCATTAATTAGCTCTACCTTGCCAAAGAAAAATCAGGAAGCACCGGGGCTACAAGGCCAAGCTACCTTGCACAGCTTCCTTTCTCTCTACCCAAAGTCGATCCAAGATAACTCCTGGTCTCTCAATCTCTTTAAGATATAAAAGGCTGTTATCAGAAACAACATTCTCATTCTGTGACATGTAGCATACTATCTGTATTTCCTTTAATAGGTCAATTTAACTAAATTGCCATGGATTGGTCTGTATTTTCATCTTGTTTGTCATTACCGTAAGGGGAGGAACGTGCCACTAATGACGCATCTGTGATGTTTTGTCAGGTTTCCCTGGTCGGGGCCACGTCGCGGTATCCTTCCAGCCCCAACAACTAAACGCCCTCAGCTAGAGTCTGAGACAAAGCCACTTCATACCAAAGCTCACTACTGAAGAAATGTTCCACTACAATAAAACAGGAAGCTTTTCTTTTTTGGAATAGAAATCTATGACTGGTGGGTAGAACTTTCTTAGCTATGGAAGCTTCTCCTCGCATCAGCTTGGTGTTACAAATGTGTGCAGCGGTGATGGGGTTCGTTGGTAGTGGACACGAGGCCACTTCCTAAGAGCGAAAACCCTCAAAATACAATTACAGCTCCATTTTCTGAAAATTTTCCATGGTGCTATGGCCGTCTCTACCTTCTAAGTAATAATTGATCTTCAGTTCATTAATTTTGGGTATCAAGAGTCCTTTTACAATTCCCCAACATGAAATTAATATATGACATAACATGCTTCTCTTATGGTCTGTTAAACGGTTATCTGAAAGAGTTCTGTGAAATCAAAATGTAAGCGTTCCCTTTAAACCACACCTCAAAACGTCTGAATTGACACTATCTGAATTGACCTATTATTTTATGGGTCAACTTGTTAAACTTGATTGCTTGAGAAAAGCTACATACAGTTAAAGCAGCCATACTCAAAGAGAAGATTTCAATGTGTTTCCACGATGTCTGTTGTAGTATTTGGTGACACAATTTTGAGTTAAAATGATACGGCATTTACTGGTTTAAACAAATCAATCACAGAACTTTAAACCCTTCATGCATATCCTACCGGAAGAAACAACAAACAGCAGCAAGCATCACTTCCTGTGTCAGAGACACACAGAGAAAAACCTGCCTGCAACGTCAGATCTTCTTGTGTGGTTGCTTGTATTAGCTACTAAACCCCTAAAAGTTAAGCACTAGCCAATTAGAAAGCATGCACTAATGTTCATTTGAGTTGAGTTGAGTTTTTCTGTAACTGAAATGCAGAAGGAAAAAAAAAATTAGTACTTCCTAAAGTCCAATGGAGTCTCTATTAATACAAATACTTTTAAGAAACAGCAGCGATATTTGTGAGAGAACAAGGGAATTTTCTTGACCTGTGTGAATAAATCTTTTTAATGTTGTCTAAATACTACTGTCAGAAAGGTCCTAGTTTAGGCAAACATGATTCAGGAAAAAAAGACCCTTGAGCATAAACATACAATGCAAAATCATTAAAATACTTTAGTTTAAAAGTCCTCAAGCAATTAAAAGATGCCCACTTACCTTGCCTATCTTTTCAGTGACGTATGAAAGGAAAAGCACAAAATTAACCCCAACTGCCAGAGGTGTCCCAGGTTAGTTACAGAACCACACCAAACCACACCGCACTCGTCCACACTCGCGCTCTCTTTCCGCTCCCTCTCAGGCCCTCTTAGCCTAAGCCATTCTGTGACATTACAGCTACCAGGGAGTTCTACTGAAAAACAAACAGACTGGCAAAACAAAAACCAAAACCAACCCTGTCTGACATTCTTTAGAATAGAGCTGCACACTGCCAAATTTTTTTTTTTTTTCTAACTTTCAAGCAAACTGGTACAGGTGTAGGTAGCCAGTGCTTAGTGTGGACTGAGCGATCAGAAGAGGCAAGCAGGCCGTTAGGGGCCGACTTCTATTCTAGCAGGACTCCTCAGTGACTGCTCCATGATAACTCAGATGTCATTCACAGAAGTGACATTCCTAGCCATCCCAGTGGACCGCACTGGCATGCTTCCAGAGAATGTAACAAGGAAATAATTTTTAACGGTCACGTGCAGGGACTCTTACCTTATAGTCCAATCAGGGAAGGCAGTGCACTCTACACACAAGAGCCTAAAGCCCTAATGCTTATTTCGGTTTTTCAACTGCTTCCTATAAAATTCTCCAAAAGTCAGGAGAATCTAACACTGGAAAGTTCTGCACAATTGCCATCCAGAGAGTCACTAACTTGTTCACAGAAACTGGATTATTACATGACTAAATGTCTCAACTCTGGCCACCGGATGTCAGAACACTTAAGACGAGCTACAGATTACATGTTGGTTTCTTGTTCTGCAAAATAAAAGAATGGACAGGCAACCAAACTTCAGAGAAAATCAGAAATGTGAAGGAAGCTTTAAGTGACCGAGTATCTTAACAATATGCTAACACTAATATACACATAAACAGCGGAAGGGACGCTTGCAGAAGTAAATGAAGATACTCAGCTTTATCTATCCCGGAGTCAAAGATGACAAAACCGAGACGTCGGGAGTTTAATTTCGTGTTGGCCCCCTAGCTCTCACTGCTACGGATGTGATGTTCCAGACAACAACAAAGCCATCTTTAAAGCAGCTCTATAACAAAGACAGGGGAGGTCTGGTGTACTTGGTGTGCGGCTAAAGTTACCCATGCTAAATAACCAAGGCTTGGGGTCAGAATGATGGTATTACCTGAACACCTGGGTCCTCATCTTCTTCAGGAGGAGGAGATGCTGGGGGCGTTTTGTCTAAGTCTGAATTTTCAGAACCTTCTGTTTTTCCCTTGTTGACCTTTTTCTTCAAAGCACTTGCTTCTGAATCAGGTTTCTTATTACTAGAATTCAAAGTGGATCACTTAGTGTTCACTTTTTAATGAGGTTTTCCACATGCCCCATGCCTTATATTTCCCACATTAATATCCCGAAAGTATCGATGACAACTGATAAATCAATGCGTGTTGGCCACTTACAGTTAAATGGCACTCTCAATTAAGTTTTTATGGCAAAACCCCATACTGATGACCTTTGGCAAATACCTGACCTAATTAAAGAGAAATTTCATGCAAAAACTCCCAATACCACACAGAGTACATTTGTTATCTAGACAATGCAAAATCCCTGCCAGTACACCAAACCATAGTGAAAAATCAGATTAAGAAGTCGTTTTGCTATCAAATTTTTAAGGCACAGGATACGTTTTGTTTTGTTTTGTTTTTGAACGTCAAGGAAAACTAGACTATAATGATCATTTCTTTGTGTCTCTTGCAGAGAGTTTTAAAACTCCTATTTAAGCCCTTTTTATAACCAACACTGCTAGGTGTCCTCCATTATGTCACCCAGCTACATTATTATCCGACGACAGCCTCTTAAAATATAACAAAACATATGGCAATTTCCTGTTCTACATGATTTTACTTAATGCTGTTTTCTTAATTTAAAATAAGCTTCATTTTGGTGCTGGGCATTTTTTTGAGAGAGTCACAGTAGCCTTTTTTTTTTTTTTTTTTTTTTTTCCAAAGCTAGGTCTCTGAAATACAAAAATACAGCAAAAACAACCCCAATAATTAAAGTGCATGTTCCACAGTATGTTTCTGCCAGACGTTAACAGGATTGGAATGTTACATAAGTCAAAAGACATGAATGAACCTTGAGAAAATATTTTTTTTTTTTAATTTAACTTTACCATTGGCTTCAAAACCTTTATGTGACATTCTTTTAGAATGTACGCTTAGTGCTACTTTCCATTCCAATTTCCAAACTGGACCCAAGGTTTTCTAATATTAATTATCATGTTTTGCAACATTTAAAATAATCAAACCTCAGTAATGGTTATATTTTTCTATTTCTAGAAACCATAAAATTCTAATAAATTTGAAAACACAGTATTTTAAAAACCTTTACAAAGTTTATTTATGAAACTTCATAAATTCCCAGAAAAGTGTGCTGACAGAATGCATTAAACAGCATATTTTCTCAGCCTCAGCTACTACAAAAGACACCAAGACATCTCTATGCTTTCATTTAAGTAAAGCACATGTCACGTAAAATATTTCAAAAGTATGTTAGCAGAATAAAGTATCCATCACCCGCCTAAAACGTATCTTAGTAACGAATAAAATATTTGGTAGTCCCAAACTAGTTATTTTTAAATACTCAGACCCTGTTCTATTTTGTGAACATTTTAGCAGGGTAGATAGCCACGTAAGGAAATAACTTACAAGAATTCAAGATTAGAGCAAATGGCAGTTAGGTTTAAAGAGTTCTTTTAATTTAAAAAAATTTTTAAAAGGCAGTGTCCTAAAAACTTGAAGTCCCCAAAGATCCATGGAAAGAATAATATTTTTTAAATTAAAAAAAAAAAAAATCCATACAGCAGTTCCTCACCCAACTGTCCTAGTGTTTACGCTACACATGGACAGAAGTCTCCCCTACTATGAGGCTCCATTTCCAGCATTTATTTCCGCTCTAACTGCCACAAATTATACAATACTACAGCTGAACGCTGGGCCCCTTTCCTTTCATCTGCACGCCAAGAGCAATCAGATTACCCTGGTAACCAGCGGTCACATGACCAGCACCTGCTCTTTTGGCTGGATGCCACTGACTAAAGCCATCTGCTTCCCTCAATCAGCTTTCAAACATTCTCAACACCTGCGCTGCAGTGTTTTGTGGTTTCTTTTATCAAATCAGTGCAAAACTGCTTCCAAAACTTTACATATTTCTCAAATTTGTTTAAATCAGAGGTAGGCCTGTCACAGAGTTGAACCACTGCCAGGTAAAGTAAGTCGGCAGCCAGTGCCTTTCACCGTGACCTCTCTGCACCAGAGCGAGGTACACAGTTTAATTTAGTGGGGTTACCGCACCCTGTGTGAACTGTCCTATAGGAGTAAAAAGGCTTACTGTCTTAAAGCCGCCAGAGCCCAGGTTTGCTGAAATATCAATTTGCTGAAGGAGAGAAGCGCTAATGATTTTCCACCTGCCCTGCCCATGAATGAACTGCGTGGAACCTCCAAGGCTGCTAAAAGTCAGACAAGACCTCTCCAAATGCTCAGGGAAAAAAAAAGCCTGTAGCCAAGGGAAGCACTCATCCCAGATCTGATTACCGAAAGATTTCCAAACTCATTAGACCTTGCACTATTAACGTTGCTCAGAGACAGGTAAGCACTTCCATGCTGACACCTTCTCGTGACATCAACACACAAATCAAAAGCGTGCCAAGAAGTCAAAAAAGCTACAAAATCTTCAATGTCCACCCAAAGACATCACAACCAAGGACAAGATAAAGTCATGTTAATTAAATTGCCTTTGCTACTGCTTTGCAATCAGCTAATCTGGATTTTCAACTAAGTGTTACATTACAACTGCTTTGTCTCCAGAAAACTAAGGTCAGAATTTTTTTCAACAAATGAGGGTAATACAGACTGTGGGTTAGGCTGATGTGCGTCAGACACACCTTAGCTCAAGTTCCAACTCTGTCATGTATCACCTGTCTGTCTGTGACCCTGAACAAATCACTTCGTTTCCCCGAGCCTCAGTTTCTCATCGGTAAGATGAGGTCAGTAATTCTATCTTCCTCCAAGATTCGTTATGAGGTTTAAATGAGATAATGGATGAAAACGCTGGTGGTATGTGACACAAATGCCAGTATTCACACACACATCTGGAAGGCAAACAGCTGGGAACGCATTCGGGGATGCCTGGGAACATATTCTCTGGTGTGGCTCAGACCCACTCGGGCTGAATCCACTGCAGACTCGGAGACAGAACCCCACTGCACCAAAGACCGTTTCCTCTAAAGCCACACCAGTGGAAGCGAAGTCCTTTATCCACAGTCCCCAGCACAAGCTGGGAGGACAAACAAGCAGCCAATCCCAAGGGCCACTCCCCTCCGTGGCCACTGCTTTAGTTCAGGCAGGTGTCATTCCCCACCTCGCCTGTTATAACCGCCTCCCCGCTGCCTCGTCACCCTCGTGATCCACGGGCTGGGTCACCCGCTATCAGACTACCGAGGAAAGGACACACGTGCTACCTCCACAGTCGCTATTTAATTTAAATCTCTAGCATTCAGAGCTAGTCTTTTATAATGTCAAAGCCAAAACGTGGCCATACAAACATTCCTCTCCCAAATTATAATTTGGAAAGCTGGCAGGCACGCACGGGGCAGCTCTTCCAGCTGGGGTAAGAGAATGTTATTAATAAGAAACATCCCTCGAGCGGACACTACGATGCTGAGAATGGAGCCACTGAGCTGCTTGGCACAGACACAGAACCTCCGACAGCTGCCGTGATGGCCACTCGTGCGGGTTTAGCCGATGCTGGCCTCTACATGGTGACCTCCCGGAGGGAGGACCCCAAGGGGTGGGGGGTGGGGGTGCTTTCTAATTCTAGCCCTATACGGCCTCAGCCCCGGAGACATGGTGCCTACCCCGGACCTGCTCTGCCTTCCGCACTTCCTACTTCAGGGACATGGCACTGCCACCAGAACATCACCTACAAACCCACCCTCCACGCACCAGCACAGCGACCAGCTAAAACGTAAACCTGACTGCACCGTCCTGCTTCAAGTCCGATCTACACAATGACGTCTGAGAGTCCGCACTGGCCTGCAAGGCCTTCTGCGATGTTTGCAACTTTCCACTTTCCTCGCACCCCAAACCCTCCGCACCCTCTACGTGCAGACACACAGAATGTGCTCACTAACGGGCACACCTGCCTCTTCCACCTCCGTTCCCCTCCCGGCTCCATCTACGGCTCTGCAAGACTCAGCTAGGCCATCGCTCATTCACGAGAAGCCTCACTCCACCTACGTGAAGGAAGGTACCCTGCACAAGGGGTATTTAAAACACACAGAATACGGTGGGAGCACTACCACAATGAACTGAAACCAAAGTTCTGTGTGTGTGTGTGTGTGTGTGTGTGTGTGTGTGTGT